CACCGCCGTGACCACGAGGAGGTCCGGCGGCTCCTTATTGTGCCGGGTCAGTACAAGTTTATTTCATCCCCCTGTCCACTTAAGTGCTGGCAGTGTGATTTTTTGTATGTATTCCTGGCTGTTATTTTACTTCTTGCTTGTGACCAAATAAATCTGCTCAAACCTACTACACCATTGGCACTCCCTCTCTGTTTTTGACCCTCTCTCTGAGGGTTTCAGATCTACAGCAGCTGGTTCCTTAGTGCATCTTGTATCCAGGAGAGGGAACTCATCCACCTTCATGCACTGGTTGTGAGTGCTCTCTAAACCTTGCTGCATGCCACTACACCCAAGGCTGATGATCCACCTGGGAGGGATCCGATCCGCAGGTCCGTGTGTCTGGCAGATTACCTGGATAGATGGTCATATACATGCGCATATTTAATGCGCGGTCGGTGAGTGCGCATTTTATCTATACGGTTCCAGTCACCTATTTGATATAGAGGAGATTTTTTACGTCAAGTTTTCTGCAATCCATTCACGCTCATGAAGAATTTATGAACTTTATGCTTACTTATTTGGCTTTATGTACTTATATTACAGCGCTGCACTATATATTTTTACCATTTATGTTATGAGGTCTAGTGATTCCTTGGAGTGTTCTAGCAGCTGATTTTGTGAGCGCTCGCTATATCCTTTTTCTAAACGCTAGCTCCCGTTCCCCTCAGTTTTTATTTACTACTTTTTTGGAGCATGATTGCAGAACTTGTGGCTTCAACCTCCTAGCAGGCTTTGTAGTGCATCCATGTGGGGCTGATTTTAGATTAAAATCATTGTCTGCTATCATGTTCTGAAAGACAATATTCTATATATTGTTTTTTCTACAACATATAAGTGGACAGTGCTTTGGATGAAAAATTACCGCACATCTGCATTGCATTGCTGAATATACATGCAACACCCAGCCTGCAGGTGAATTTATCCACAGTTTGGTGGACTGACTCACTGCTTGATGGTGCCCACATAGTCTACTGATCATCAATGTATAGGGCATTCTTCCGCCTACTGACTTCCAATATAAAGGGACACTTTGAATTCCAGTGACCACCAACGTAGACAGGCATTTTATTCCCACGGACCACCAAGATAAGTGGGCATTCTTTCTGTCACTGACCACCAATGTAATATGACATAAACCACTGACCAACAAATGGAGGGGACACTTCTTTACTGACCCACCAATATTAGGTAGTATTTTTCCTGCCATTGACCTCCACTGTAAGGGGGAACTTTCCACCAATGTAATGGCAAATTCTGCTTGCGACTGACCATCAATGTAAAGAGACATTCTTCCTGCCACTGACCACCAGTGTAAGGGGACACTGTTTCTGCCACTGACCATCTATGTAAGGGGACATTGTTCCTGCCACTGACCACAAATGTAAGGGGGCACCTCTTCACTGTCCACAATATAAGTGGGAACTTCTCCAATATCAGTGTAAGGGAAAAAAATGTATGGGGGCACATCCAAGTCACTGAACACTGTACACCATACTTTAAGTTATGTACTCCGAATTGTTGCAATCTGTATGCTGTGCTGTACATTACATATTTTGGACTGCTGCACTCTATAAAACAACCTGTACATATACATATTTCTGTCCACCGCATCCTGCATGTTACATATTCTGGACCACTGCACTCTGTACATTGTGCGAAAAGTTACATACTGCACACCACTGGCCAACATATGTTGTTTTGAACATCACATGTGGACTACTGAGCTCTGTACATTTTGCTTCACATAACATAATATAAACTGCCGCTTTCTGTATGCTGTATTGTACTGTATATTACATAGTTTGACCTTTGCAATCTGTATGTACCTTTGTACTGTACATACAGTGAGGAACAGAAGTATTTGAACACCCTGCGATTTTGAAAGTTCTCCCATTTAGAAATCATGGAGGGGTCTGAAATTCACATTGTAGGTGCATTCCCACTCTGAGAGACAGAATAAAAAAAAATTCAGGAAATCACATTGTATGATTTTTAAAGAATTTATTTGTCTTGCACTGCTGAACATAAGTATTTGAACACCTAAGAAACAGCAAGAATTCTGGCTCTCAAAGACCTGTTACTGTGCCTTTAAAAAGTCCACCTCTACTCCACTCATTAATCTAACTTAGTAGCACCTGTTTGAGCTCTTTAAAGACACCTGCCCACCCCACAGTCAGTCAGACGCCAACTACTACCATGGGCAACACCAAAGAGCTGTCAAAAGACACCAGAGACAAAATTGTGGACCTTCACAAGGCTGGAAAGGGCTACGGGGCAATTGCCAAACAGCTTGGTGAAAATAGATCAACTGTTGGAGCAATTGTTAGAAAATGGAAGAGGCTAAAGACGACTGTCAGTCTCCCTCGGACTGGGGCTCCATGCAAGATCTCACCTCGTGGGGTATCACTGATGATAAGAAAGGTGAGGAATCAGCCCACAACTACAAGGGAGGAGCTGGTCAATGACATGAAGAGAGCTGGGACCACAGTTTCAAAGGTCACTGTTGGTAGAACACTATGCCATCATGGTTTCAAATCATGCATTGCACGGAAGGTTCCCCTGCTCAAGACATCACATGTCCAGGCCCATCTGAAGTTTGCCAATGACCATCTGGATGATCCAGAAGAGGCATGGGAGAAAGTCATGTGCTCAGATGAGACATGAACTTCACTCGTCGTGTTTGGAGGAAAAAGAAGGATGAGTTGCATCCCAAGAACACCATCCCTACTGTGAAGCATGGGGGTGGTAACATCATGCTTTGGGGGTGCTTTTCTGCAAAGGGGACAGGACGACTGCACTGTATTAAGGAGAGGATGAATGGGGCCATTTATTGTGAGATTTTGAGCAACAACCTCCTTCCCTCAGTCAGAGCATTGAAGATGGGTCATGGCTGGGTCTTCCAACATGACAACGACCCAAAGCACACAGCCAGGATAACCAAGGAGTGGCTCCGTAAGAAGCATATCAAGGTTCTGGAGTGGCCTAGCCAGTCTCCAGACCTAAATACAATAGAACATCTTTGGAGGGTGAGTGGGAATGCACCTACAATGTGAATTTCAGACCCCTCCATGATTTCTAAGTGGGAGAACTTGCAAAATCGCAGAGTGTTCAAATACTTCTGTTCCTCACTGTACCTCAAACTGCTGGGCTTTGTAAGGTGTGCTATATTTTACATGCTTCTTCACAACCTATATGAGACCTAATACTCCCTCATTATTACCAAACCTAAATTTACTCCTAATGCAGAGCTCTTTGAATGTTCAATCATTCTCAAATAGGAAGACTGAGCTCGGTTTATGACCAAGCTGTGCTGCTGCTGTAATGGTAGACCTTACTGTGCTGTCTGTCATGTAAAACAATGCACATTTATAGTATATTCTAACTGGTATTTGAAAAAAGTGCAATAAGCAAAATCAAAATTTAGTGATTCACAGTATGTTGATTTAGTAATTTAGTTGCAGGAAAAAGTTATCTCTATGGTCACTTTTTCCAGCATATCTGTAGTCCTAATTGAGACATCTCTGTTCATTGTATTAACTTAATTTTTAAATATTTTCCAGAAATTTTACATCAGGCATTAACCCCTGGCCTACTGGGCACTTATACCCCCTTCCTGCCCAGGCCAATTTTCAGCTTTCAGTGCTGTTGCACTTTGAATGACAATTGCACAGTCATGCAACACTGTACCCAAATGAAATTTTTATAATTTTTTTGAGACAGATAGAGCTTTCTTTTGGTGGTATTTAATCACCTCTGGGTTTTTTATTTTTTGCTAAACAAACCAAAAACACCTGAAAATTTTGAAAAAAAAAAGTTTTTTCTTAGTTTTTGTTCTAAAAGTTTGTAAATAAGTGATTTTTTCTTCTTCACTGATATGCGCTAATGAGGCTGCAGTGATGGGCACTGATAGGTGGCACTGATGAGGAGGCACTGGTAGGTGGCACTGATGGGCATTGACAGGCATCACTGATGGGCACTGAAAGGCAGCATTCATATATGGCACTGAAAGGCAGCACTCATATATGGCACTGATAGGTGGCACTGATAGATGGCACTGATAGGCCGCACTGACTCACTGACTGGCACTGTTAGGTGGCACTGACTGGCACTGTTAGGTGGCAATGATAGGCAGCACTGATGGGCACTGATGCTCACTGATAGTCGGCACTGATAGGCAGCACTGACTGGCACTGATAGGTGGCACTGATTGGCAGCACTGATAGGTGGCACTGACTGGCACTGATAGGTGACACTGAAAGGCAGCTCAGGTGAGCACTGATATGTGGCATTGATGTGCACTGGTAGGCACTGATATGTAGCATTGATGTGGCACTGGCAGGTGGCACTGATGAGCACTGACAGCTGGCATTGATAGACACTGACAGGTGGCACTGCTGGGGCTACACTGATCATCAGGGCACACTGATCATCAGTGCCCTGATGATCAGTGCACATGTCCCCTCCGAGGAATGCTGATTACCGGCTCTCCTCTCCTCTCGAGCTGTCAGAATGACAGCTCGTGAGGAGAGAAATGCCGATAATCGGCATTTCCCTATTTACATGAAGGTAAGCTGTGACTGGACACAGCTGATCACAGGACCGAGCGAAATCTTTGGCTCTTTCCGTTGTTCGGTGATCCGCTGTGTCCGAGGGACACAGCGCACCGCCGATCGCTCCCGGAGCCACGCATGCGCGGTTAGAATAGGAAGATGTAATATGACTTCCTCCCAGAACGAGAGAACCACCTTGCGCCCGTCATTGGATTATATGGTGGGCGGGAGGTGGTTACGATTTGCACATCTCATATCCTTAGCTGGACATACAGCATTTCTCTACATGAGATGAAGTTTTACCCTCATGTGTATGTATTTGGACCATTTTATGTTTATTCTTTTCCTATCATGCCTGTTTATTGCACATAATAACTGATGCATCATCCTTGTAGATATGTAAAGCTTTACCTTGGGACAGGGCCGGTTGCTGGGTAATCCCTTGGCCAAGCTGATCTGTCAGCCAGAGCTGCATTCGAATGAATGGTTCTCGGCCTTTCTGGGTTAATTTACTCCATGGTTTAGGTCTTGACAGCATGTCACTGACACTGCCCTGGGATAATCCAAGAACCTAAATGGAAAAGCACAGGATATTAATAAGAAGCAAAGTGTAATACAGGTAACAAAACTGTTAAATTATAATTGCCCCCGCAGTTGAAGATACACCATGCAAAAGTTCCCATTGAAACAGAACAGGCAGCATTAGATTAGCATTAAGGAGATCTACACTGAAACTCATTAAGGTGGTACCAAAATTAATTTTGTGTGTTCAGTCCTACACCCAAAACCCCAAAACAGTTTTTCATATAGCTATTTTCCTGTAATTAGCCAACATGCCTGTGTTCATGGGCTTTTATTTGAATCAGAACTGCTTTTCTCTACATACAAGTCAATGGGAATGAAACAGCAGCATGAAGCAGGTTGACATAGCTTAGAACGAAGCATAAATGCAAGTCAGAAGAAGGTCAGGTGCATTCACATGTACCTGTAAATGAACTCTGAATGATCTGGACAGAGTCTTATACTGATCTCAAATACAGGCTACGTGCACCTAAAAAAAGCTGCAATTGCCCATTGATGCCCTAACTGTAATAAGAATCAGATTCAGTAAGATGCATATAATGAATCAATATAGGTAGAACTATAGAACCCTGCATACACATTAAATAAATAAAAAAAAATTGTTTATTTTTTTTGAAAAAAAAAAAACAACCACTTCTGCATTCTTTAAATTAATTTGACTGTTGGGGATCTCTTGTGTTACGCTTTCATCTTGCTCTTTTATTCCCAGCATCCTGGAGATGCATTTAAGGAGCTCTGAATGCCAGTGAATTATAATCCTTTGTAAAATCTGTGTCTAATTTGAACTGAATGGATTTACAAATTCTATGTTCACATGCATAGGATTACCCCAGAGTCACTATTTCCCAGATGAAGCTCCACACTGGGAGTTAAATGTCCATATACTGTATATATTTATGCCAGTATAGGCTAAAACTAAAATACTTTTTCACAGAGCCAACATATTTCAGGGGACGGAAATACAGAAAATAAGAGACAATACTGTGTGTACTGGAACTGATTTAAGAATATAGTATTTTGCTCAAACTAATATTGCAGCTAAAAAAACAGCTGCTGACTAACTCTTTGCTGCAATATCTGGCATACGTTGTTCCCCACCAACTTCCAAATCTAGACTAGCTAGTGCCATGTTTTCCCATTTTAAATGAGGACATGTCATGTTTCAAAGCACTGATTTCTAAAACAAATGATCAGCAAAGATATTTCAGCTTTAGTCCTCTAAAGATATTTTTCCTGTTTTTTAAAGTGGCTCACTGCTTTTGAATGATTCACAATTACTATATTTTTATGTTGCCTTTTTTCAAGCATATAAGGAAAAATACAGAAGAAAGCAGACATTGAGAGCCAGAAATAAGAAAGTAAACAACATGGATAACATACTACACCAAGTAAATCTAACTGGCTCGAAGGGTCAGCCCACCTAAAAGTTGCATTTCAGCTTAGATGCAATGTCACGGGATACTAGTAACCTGCAGTGTTTACATTGGGGGACCCTAAAGTTGAACCCCCATCTCTGCTCTCATTTACTTTTTTTATTGGACTATTTTTTTTTTTACACAGGCACCAATACTTATACCTTTTCTCCAAAGATTCTCTGGCAAATGCCATTTTTGGCAAGTTTTTCTTTAACCTGTCTTGTCAGGTCCAGCGTATCTACCTCCCTGTACATGTACATTTCATACTGCTCCGGGGTCAGAGGAGGTACCGTAGGCTTGAGGTTTCTTGGAACGTATGCAGGGTAGTATGAAAGCTGACTGATATTCTGATTATCCAGGCTTCCAGACTCTGTTTTCACTTCCATTATCTTGTGTGCTTCTTCCACAGTAGATATATCTTCCTCATTGTTAACATTCTCCCCATTATCTCCTCTCTTCCAAGCTCGCCCATTAACCATACTGGAGTAACTTGATGACGATGAAGATAGTGAGGGAGACACAGAGGTATATGGATGGCTCAGGACATTTTTTTCTGATGCCCAATGCTGGTCAAAGTATGATCCGGCATCACCAATCTCTGACTTCACTTTGCGGATGATGTTTTGTACAAAAGCTGCTGGGGACAGCACACTCAGTGGTGTTTGTGTGGCACTTGTGCTGGCAGGAAGGGTGCCCTCCTCCTGTTTAATATAGATATGAGGGGTTGTGTGTGTTGTAGGAGTGAGAACTGGACGCTCATTTGGTGGTGTAGGAATAGGCCTATGGTTACTCCCTGATTCAATTTCCAGCAGTGCCTGCTGCTGTGCCTGCATCTCACGCCTAGCCTGCTCCAAGATGCTCTTTATTGCATCTTCCGAACTGTTGTTAACACTGGAAGTTGATGATAATGGAACACTCGAACCTTTTGTTTCACCTGCATAAAAAAAGAAAGACATATTGTTATGGGTACCCAGTGGAAACCCAAAGATTTAATTTCCTTAGATAACTGTCATAAAGGTATGATCAAATCTATATTGGGAAAAATGTTATGCATTTGTTAGCATATAAGGAAAAGCTCCTAGTTTTTTCAATGTAATTTGCTCTCATAAGGCTGCTTATTCATTTTCATATAAGATTCTCAGAAAGCAGTAATTCATTTTCTCCTCCATAAATGTGCACACAGTTAAGTCCTATTCATAAATAATGACCCGTCCATTAGGAGGTAGTAGAAGTGTCAGTTCTTATTAATGAGCTGATGATTTTATGATAGGAAGCTGCAGAGTGGAAACGGGAATTATTAACAGATGTGATGCTGTAACTCAGAAACAGCCCATGGTATTATTTAAAGGGAATGGTGCCTTTGGTTTATGTTAACAGTAATGCAATCAGCTTCCATTAGGCCTATCCTCACTAGTATTAACCCCCCCCCCATATCAGAACAGCAATTAAATGACCTGTTATGAACTACAGTTGCAAGAAAAAGTATGTGAACCCTTTGGGATTACGTGGAGTTTTGCATGAATTGGGCATAAAATGTGCTCTGAACGTCATCTAAGTCACAGCAATAGAAGAGAAACACAGTCTGCTGAACATAATACTACACAAACATTAGATGTTGCCATGGTTTAATTGCACATAACATGTAAACATTCACAGTGCAGGGAGGAAAAAAGTATGTGAACCTTTGGACTTAATAACTGGTTGACCCTCCTTTGGCAGCAATAACCTCAACCCAAACGTTTCCTGTAGTTGCAGATCAGACCTGCACAATGATCTGGAGTCATTTTGGACCACTCCTCTTCACAAAACTGTTTCAGTGTAGCAATATTCTTGGATGTCTGGTGTGAATCACTCTCTTAAGGTCATGCCACAGCATTTCAATCGGGTTGAGGTCAGGACTCTGACTGGGCCACTCCAGAAGGCGTATTCTGTGCTGTTGCAAGCCATTGTTTTGTTGAATGACTTGTATGCTTTGGGTCATTGTCCTGTTGCATCACCCATCCTCTGCGGAGCTTCAGTTGGCGGACAGATGGTCGTACGTTTTCCTGCAAAATGTCTTGATAAACTCTGGAATTCATTTTCCCATCAATGACAACAATCCGTCCAGGCCCTGAGGCAGCAAAGCAGCCCCAAACCATGATGCTCTTCCGCCATGTTTCACAGTGGGGATGAGGTTTTGATGTTGGTGTACTGGGCCTTTTTTTCTCCACACATAGTGTTGTGTGTTCTTCTCAAACAACTCAATCTTGGTTTCATCTGTCCACATATATTTTGCCAGTAGTGCTGGTGGAAACATCCAGGTGCTCTTTTGCAAACTTCAAACGTGCTGCAATATTTCTTTTTGGACAGCAATGGCTTCCTCCGTGGTGTCCTCCCATGTACTCCATTCTTGTTTAATGTTTTCCTTATTGTAGATGTGTCAACAAAAATGTTAGCATGTGCCAGAGATTTCTGTAGGTCTTTAGCTGACACTCTGGGATTCTTCTTTGCCACATGCAGCATTCTGCGCTGCGCTCTTGCAGTCATTTTTACAGACGACGACCCCGCCTAGGGAGAGTAGCAACAGTGCTAAACTTTCTCCATTTGTAGACAGTCTGTCTTACCGTGGACACATGAACATCAAGGCTTTTGGAGATACTTTTGTAACCCTTTCCAGCTTCATGCAAGTCAAACAATTCTTGATCGTAGGTCTTCTGAGAGCTCTTTTCTGCAAGGCATGTTCACATCAGACAGTGCTTCTTGAAACCAGTAAACCCAAAACAGGTGTGTGTTTTTTAAGGGCAGGACAGCTGTCAGCAACACATCCAATATCATCAAACTGATTGCAGTCAAGGTTGGCTCACTCCTGGCTCCAATTAGCTCTGGGAGAAGTCATTAAGCTAGGGCTTCACATACTTTTTCCTCCCTGCACTGTGAATGTTTACATGTTATGTGCAATTAAACCATGGCAACATCTAATTTTTGTGTAGTATTATGTGTTCAGCAGTCTGTGTTCTTCTATTTGTTGTGACTTAGATGACGTTCAGAGCACACATTTTATGCCCAATTCATGCAAAACTCCACGTAATCCCAAGGGGTTCACATACTTTTTCTTGCAACTGTACATACATTTATTACTGACACGTCTATTATTATTATTATTATTATTATTATGGTACTGAATCATTGCCTGGCAGCCTATGGGCTGCACAATATTATCTACAAAAATATAATGCAGCTTGCAGCTCAACACCAACTAATTGTCAATCATGTTTGTTCATCAGCATTGACACTGAAAAGGTGTGTACTTTTATTTTACATTGAACTCACTTCCACACACTTTATCCTCTGTACCATTTCCATCACCAGATTGCTCTGCTTGTGATCACTATGTGGCAGAAGCTTCTATTTACTATTTATATCAATAGGGAAATTTGACATTACATGTAATATGCACTTGAGGAGGAAATAATTGATGTAGGATTTGAAATGAATAGATCACAATAACAGCGGTAATAATACCCCAGCACTTTCATGGTCAGATATCCTTTACTTTATCCTTTATGCTTTTGATCTCTCTCTCTCTCTCTCTCTCTCTCTCTCTATCTACCTATCTATCTATCTATCTATCTATCTATCTATCTATATATCTATCTATCTATCTATCTATCTATCTATCTATCTATCTATCTATCTATCTATCTATCTATCTATCTATTCGTTATCTGTATATCTTTTTCTGTTCAAAATCAGAAGGTAAACATTACCATAAAACATACAGCAGGTGGCAGTATAACTCTTTTTTTGTACGACTTCAGAAAAACTAGAAAGTGGTTTGTCTGTGATGTGCTGAATTTGCTCACAAAGAGACAGGAAAACAAAACAGAGGCTTTTGTGGTGGCTTTGTTACCAGTGACACCTGAAGCAAGGTTTAGAACAGATAGTTATACCATCTGCTCAGTTAGGCCCCATTCACACTAGGGCTTTTGAATCGCAGGCAGAATAGCTGTGATTTTGCCCGCAATTTCAAACTGCTTTGCTAAAATGAAAAATCGCGGAACCACGTGTTCAAGTGCCATTCATTTTTGTGGGTGACACACATCACATGATGCGATTTGCAGTGATTGCAGTACGATTTATTGTGTGACAATCACGGCAGAACCGTACCACATTTTTAGCTTCCATTAAAATAAATGGCACCTGAACATGCGATTCCGTGATTTGTCATTGTAGCAGAGTGTTTTAAAATTGTGGGCAGAACTGCCAGAATTAAAAATGCCCAAATGTGAATGAAGCCTAAAGCTGGGTACACACACTCAGTCCTAGTGTGAATGGGGCCTTAGAAACTCTTTTTGGGTGACATGCATTGTGCCATGCTGTTTGCAATTTATCGTGTGACAATCGCAGCAAAACCGCACCGCGTTTTCAGGTGCAATTAAAATGAATGGCACCTGGACATGCGCGATTTGTCATTTTACCTTAGCATTTTGAAATCATGGGCAAAATCCAAAACGTTCATATGGGAATGGAGCCTAAAGCTGGAAACACACACTGGGTACAACCAGCTGGTTGAATAAAAAAAAAAAAACCTGACACATCAACACAATGGATCTAGAATACACTGATCAGCACTTGCAGCAATTGGTTGCATGTGCTGATCAAAATCTGATTTTCCAGCATGCCAGTTGATAGAAGCTGGTCCTTAGACTAGCTTTTGTTGAACAGAAAGTGTTACACTGAAATTCAGCTGGTTCCTGCTGAACCAGCAGATTTTCACCCTGTGTGTTGAGGGCTTTAGTTCTGCTTAAAATACACAAATTTTTGTTAGGGGTCATTCATATGGGTGCTGAGACCATTCCCCAAATCCAAGCTGCTGTCTCCTGCATGTGAATCCACCTCAGAGCTGCATGCAGGCCACCCATAGAAGTGGCTGCATCTGCACGGACACAGTTGCATGTGAAATTTTATATGCAACTAGAGCAGGAGCACAGATCTGGAGATACAGAGCATTCGGATCTGTACACCCACTCCATAGATGCACCCAGTCAGATGTATATATGTGCAACATTGTAACTAAAACTGCTGAGAGATTCAGAGCCTCTGCTCCAAAGATCAATCTAAAATATATAGAAGGTGTGAAAAACATACACAATTGCTTGGTTTTCTGGTTGGACTGTTTACAATAAAGCTCTCTGCACACTGGAGAAATTAGAAAGGACATTGTCCCCCTCCAGAGTTAGTCCATATAAATAATAATTGCTCAAAAGTCACTAAACAGGCTACCTTGCATTCTTCTTCATAAATATGAAGGATTAAGAACTATGAGCTATTTAAAATAATAAACATGTCATACTTACCTGCTCTGTGTGATGGTTTTGCACAGAGCAGCCCTGATCCTCCTCTTCTCAGGTTCCTGGCTCCTCCTCCTCCTCCTGTGCCCCTATAGGTGTACTCGTGCTAGCTCGCTCCTCAGGACACGGCCCCACCCCTGGCAGAGTTTGATTGACAGCAACGTGAGCAAACAGCTCCCACTGTTATGGATCTGCTCTGTAAGGAGGGACAGAGCGGAGAGACGCTGCTCTTATGCACAACCCTTGATCTTGATGGAGCTCAGGTAAGTATGGGGAGAGGGGGATGATCCCAGGCACAGAAGGCTTTTATTACCTTAATGCACAGAATACATTAAGGAACAAATCTTAAGGCTTTAGAACCACTTTAATGATGAGGAATGATATACAATATGATATTGCATTTATTTATGAACAATGTGCACATGTGCTTCCTTTATTGTGGTCAGGACTAATACACTGTCTATCATTGCTAACTTTGCTGAAAGAAGCCTGTTGTTAAGAGAGCTCAATTGCTCAAGCTAAAAGAAAATACACACAAAAGAGAATGGGGTCATGACTTCACCTCTGTCTCGATTGGGCTACCCCTACACTTTTATTAGAGAAGAGGGGTTGATATACTAAAGGCAAATAGGAATTTTCCCTTAGATTAGTGAATAATATGAAACTCTGCATGTGGTTTGCCTTGCACGTGATTGGGTTTCATTTGAAAAATTAATTTTCCCCACATTCAGTAAGCTAAGGGAAAATTCCCTTGCAAGGTTATTAGACTATCTGCCTTTGGTAAATCAACCTCAGAGTGTCTAAAAGGAAACTGCTTTTTGCTGTGCTCTCTATTTAGAAAAGTAATAGTGCTCAGGCTAGTTATAGCAGAAAATCCTTAAAACAGGGGGTCAGTAAGTCCCTAGGTGGTAAAGCCAGGATCAGGGTGGCAGTCTTGGTGACATGATCCTTAAAAACAAATTCAACAATGATAGCTCCTGTGCCATTACAGCTCCTATATCTCTATATGCACTGGTTCCTTTCAAAATAAACTAAAACAGGGAATGGCTGACTAAGAAAGGCAGGCCCTCATTCATCTCTAGTTTGTAGGCCTACTCTTTTATTCAAGGTGTTTCTGGCTCTGTTGCCTAGTATGGGAAACCAAACCATTGCCTGTCGAAGATAGTGGGGGGAAGAGGTTCTTCACTGATTATCTGTGTTCTATTTTTCAACAGGTTTATTTTGCGTTATGCTAGACTGAAAATGACTAATATCACAACAATATGTTTCATGTCAGTCTAAAATCCTACAAAAAAAGTAAACAGTTGTCATAATTGTACTTACTACCATCGAAGAAGTCTCCAAGATCCTCTCTGATGCCCGCCTCACCACCTGCCCCCTCGACCCTATCTCCTCACAACTCCTACAACCTCCCTCCCCCTCCATCCTACGCTCCCTCACCCACATCTTCAATCTCTCCCTCTCCTCCGGCACTTTCCCTTCCCCTCTGAAACATGCACACATCACCCCCATACTTAAAAAGCCCTCCCTGGACCCCAATGACCCGAACAACCTCAGACCCATCTCCCTGCTCCCATTTACATCTAAACTCCTCGAGCGCCTAGTCTACGCCCGCCTATGCTCTCACCTCAACGACAACAACCTCCTCGATCCCCTACAGTCCGGCTTCCGTCCCCTACACTCCACCGAAACTGCCTTAGTCAAACTCTCCAACGACCTGCTAACCGCCAAAGCTAATGGCCACTATTCAGTGCTCCTACTCCTTGACCTCTCTGCGGCCTTTGACACAGTCTACCACCCCCTCCTCCTCAAAAAACTACACTCCCTCGGCCTCAGAGATTCTGCTCTCTCCTGGCTCTCATCCTACCTGTCACAACGCTCTTTCAGCGTTACCTATAATGCCACCACCTTCCTCTCACTCCCCCTCTCTGTTGGGGTCCCTCAAGGCTCTGTCCTCGGGCCCCTTCTCTTCTCCATCTACACCTCCTCCCTTGGCCAACTCATACACTCTCACGGCTTCAACTACCACCTCTATGCCGACGACACACAAATCTATCTCTCAACCCCCCACCTCACCCCCTCGGTCTCCGCCCAAATCACACACCTGTTGAGCGACATATCAGACTGGATGTCGCTCCACTTCCTTAAACTGAACCTCTCCAAAACCGAGTTTCTTGTCTTCCCTCCAGCCCGGACACCACCCCCCATTGACTTCTCCATCATGTCCAACAACGCCACCATCAAACCCCACCCCGCAGGCCAGAGTACTTGGTGTCATTTTGGACTCCAACCTATCCTTCCAGCCCCAAGTCCACTCTTTAACAAACTCGTGCAGACTCCACCTCCGCAACATCGCCAAAATCCGCACGTTCCTAACTCCAGAAACCACCAAACAGCTCATCCACTCCCTCATCATATCATGACTCGACTACTGCAACTCCCTCCTCACTGGCCTGCCTCGCCGCTGGCTATCTCTGCTTCAGTCCATCCTGAATGCGGCTGCCAGACTCATTCACCTTTCCAACCACTCCGTTTCCGCCACCCCCCTCTGCCAATCCCTCCACTGGCTTCCGATTGCGCAACGGATCAAATTCAAAATCCTAACGCTGACGTACAAAGCTGTCCACCATACTGCCCCGAACTACATCACTGACCTAATATCCAAGTACCGCCCAGCACGCACACTCCGCTCCTCACAAGACCTCCTTCTCTCTAGTTCCCTGGTCTCCTCCTCCCATGCCCGCCTCCAGGACTTCTCCAGGGTGTCACCCATCCTCTGGAACTCCCTGCCCCAACCCATCAGATTATCACCTACTCTCCTCTCCTTTAGGCGCACCCTGAAAACCCATCTCTTCAGGGAAGCCTACCCCGCCCCCTGCTAACTTGCCGACCTCCTCCACTCTTCCTACCACTCCATCCCCCACAGCTATCTCCTCCTGTTCCACTATCCCCTCCCTCCTAGATTGTAAGCTCGAAAGAGCAGGGCCCTCGATCCCCTCATGTTTTGCATTGTATTGGTATTGTTCTGTCACATGTTCTGTTCCCCTCTGTAATGTACAGAGCTGAGCGAACTATTGGCGCTTTATAAATACTGTATAATAATAATAAATAATAATAATTGGCAGACTTACCCCCTTTCTGAGACTGAATCTCTTTTTTTGCTTGCTCTAGAATATTTTTGATGGCATCATCTGAGCCGGTTTCTGGAGTCCGAATTCTAGGTGTGATGCTTCCTAAACAATAACAAAATAAATTAGGCACAGTGAATATGATACACAATTGTTCCTATTCTGCTGACTCGTTAAGAGTTCATTCTTTCCCATATTTCCCTGCCATTGCACACATACTGTACGAAAAGTGCTCCAGGATCATGTATAAAACGTTCTGTTTCTGTCCTTGGCCAAATTTACCTAGTCATCCACTGTCCGTATCCAGCTGCCAAGTTCAAGATTTGATCAAGTTAATTAACAACCAGGAACCAAGATTCAAAATCAAAGTCTGAAGTAATGGTCATTAAAGCACACCAAATATACAGACTGGTATCCATATCCCTATTAGTTTGATGGTATGTGCGCCCTTCAGCAGCAGGTAAACTTAAAAGAAAGAGACCATAAATCATGGAGCCCCCTCTACATTATCAGCCTAGTAACAATTTGAACTGGGGTTTTCTGAAGGACTGACACTGAAAAAATGAGGTAATTCAACTGCCCTAAATAGGCAAGTAAGCTATATATAACCCTACAAAGTTTAAGTCACTAGTACAACGGGTATAGAAAATAATCACTCCCCTTTAAAAGAATCCTGTTTTGTTGCTTTGCAGCCTGAAACGAAGACAGGCACAGTATTGTTTTTTTCCAGCTGTATTTACTCAATGCAACCTATAACATCCAGGTGAAAGATATAACACCAACATGTCAGAAAAAAAAAAATCAAAAACAGAATCACGGAGTTGAAAAAAGGTCACCCCTCCTAAAAATGACTTGTAAAATCAATCAGTTGTAGCTAACTACCTTCACAATGGCACACAAAGCCATTTGACCTTAACTGTGATCAGCTGTGGTCATTTTGATTAGCTCTGCTTTAAAAAAGGCTTCCCTGGAGCATTTCAGTCCCTGGTAGTGCAACATAAGCTAACCAACAACTATGGAGGGCAAGGCACTGTCAAAAGATCTCCGGGATAAAGTTGTGGACAGGCACAAGTCAGGAGATGGATACAAAAAAATTCAAAAGCTTTATCAATGCCTAGAAGCACAGCGACGTCTGTTATTAAGAAGTGGAAGATATTTGGTACAACACAGACCCTCCCTGAATTAGGACATCGCTCCAAACTACATGAAAGAATCGGGAGGAAACTTGATGAAAGAACCGGGAGGCTAACAAGAGGCCTACAGCAGTTGCAGGAATTTATGACAAAGCGTCGTCATTGGGTGCATGTGACAACAATATCACAAATTCTCCACAATTGTGGCTTGTATGGGAGGGTTGCAAGAAAAAATCCACTCGTCAGGAAAGCCCACATACAGTGATGACTGAGCTTTGCCAAAACTCATTCTGTTTTACTTCTTGGGCAAACTGTTGTGCATTTTATTATACCTGCTTACCTTACTCCTGTGTACAATTTTTGAAACTATAGAATTAAAAAAAAAAGTTGCAGCATATAATCTCACTACTCGCATTCAATTAACTAAAAAAAACAATTTACCCTTAACAACAAAATGCACTTCAGATATTTGCAGCTATGACATGCCACCGAGGCACAAGCCCTGACAACTGAAGTAGTCCTTGAATTCCTTTTTCTTAAGGAAACAATAGTTAAACACTTATCTGGTTAATACCAATACTACCACTATACTACTATACTATTACTACCTAGGGGCTTCCCCAGGCTTTGATGCAGCTTTCAGAAATGTCAATAAAATATACCAAATCTGACAGAAACACGTTCTATAGACACATAGTTCTTGAAGTTCCTACAAGTTGGGGTACAAACCCTAACTAAAATGGAAAACATTGACACCTCTTATGCAAGATTATGTGTGGAATGCAATACTAAAAAGGGTTCACCTATACATGTTTTGTCTGTGCCGAAGTATTGTGAGCTGCTGTAGAGAGGTAATAACGTTTGCAAACACAGTAATGGAAACCTTCCTTTTGAAATGTCCCAGGCTATTACTTGGGCTATATGAAGCTGCACTCAGAACTACAAATCAGAAATTGCCTATAAAGCTGTTATTTTTTATACTATAAAGTATATACTGTTAAAATTTTATTATATAAATTAAGCACCTGCTGTCTTTCTACTCCTAGTAGCAAAAAACCTGGGGGGAAAGGGTGTTTACACCTAAGTGTGATATGTTTCACCATTGCTTGTTTTATTTTGGGCGGGATTAATCTAAACTCCTTATACTTTTTTTATTAGCTATGACTAGGCTGTTCTGTAATTTACAGCTCTAAAACAGATTAGAATAATGCTGCCATAGATACTCACAATAAGTAAGTGTCTAGGGTAGAAAAATTCCAACCAAAATGTCCACTTCTGCTGAGTTGAATTTGAAAGGCATAATTGTGGCCTCTAAAGTGAAGTGTATTAAGATTAACTGCACTGAACATCTGCCATTTGTAAGTAAATCATTTTAACCATTTCTGCAGAAATAACCTTTCAAATTGGAACCTCAGCCAAAACTTAATTTTATTTTTTTTATTATGATGTAGAAGAGTTAGAAACTCATGCCAGGGTTTTATTGCTGTTTGTGAACCTATTGGGGGATTTCCTCTTATTGCACAGCATTCACAAAGAAATTAGACCTCTCCAATGGAGACACATATAGTAATGAAAAAAACTTTTTTACAGAACAGGAACATGATAGAACTTCTGGCATGTTTTTTTTTGTTATCTGTGTCTCAGTTGGGAAGTATTCCAATCACTTTCTCTGTGGTCCTCAGGAAAAAAAGGCTCAGACAACAACAAAAACACTTTTTAGTCAATTAGTAAAATGTTAGAGTCCATATAGGTTTTTAAAAATGTAAATTTTCTTGTTGGGGAGACTCCTCCTACTTTCTTTTTGTGGTCACTGGGACAAAAAATAAGAGGAAATCTTCAAACAGAGACAAAGTCAATTAACAACAATATATATATATTCACCTGCTCTTTAAGTAAAAACAATATATATCACGGAAGCAGCTAGCACAGTTTGTAGGCAACAAATATCTTCCAATGTAATAAAATAAAATGAACACCTAACAGAGCCAACTCCTTGCCCACTCTATCCAAAAGTGAAATTTTTTTTCCTACTTTAGAGAGTTCCAAATCATTTAAAATTTTCACCTCAAAGCATTTTACCTTTACACAATTCTACCTGTGTTGTATACAATAAAAGACTTCTGTTTGAACTTGAATAGGGAAACCTTCTAACATTCAGCTCTTGTAGAATAATCAGGTATTGTAAATACACATATACTGTATTAAATCTACTAAATCCACTCACCTCTTTGCCGCACCTGTATAGTTCTGAGTGCTAGAACGTTCTGCTCATCTGATAGAAACTGTTTCATCTTAATGAACGGCTCCTTCCCTTTAACCGTAAGTTTCCGCCAAGGTTTAGGACGTGCCAGAATCTCACTTACTGAGCCCTGAGAGAGCCCCAAAACATAGTGGCCAAATACACGCTGTCCAATGTTATGTTTTAGCAGTTGTTCCTTCACTTGGAAAGCAATTTCAGATGTATCTAGATGCTCATCTTCCACTGAGCTAGAATTGGTCCCCTCGGAGTGATCACTGAGCGGGCTAGACTCGTGAATCCCAGTTGACTGGTGATTGTTGGGGAGTGCACTGCTCCTTATTGTATAAAACGAAGATGGGTAACTAAGTGCTGAGTTGTTTTCAGTCTTGAGTAATGGTGAAGAAACCTGATTTTTATGTAGGGGATCTGCAGCTAATTGTTCACTATTGACAGAGCAACCAGATGATGGGCAGGAGTTTCTTTGAGCTATGCTTGACAAGGATGCTTCTAGCATAGAGTGAGAAGGACTTGGTGTGGAATCTCCATCTCTGTTCATAGGGGATGCTGAGTATGGCCTCTCAGCTGGTACAGGATCTTTTGCAGCATCCTGGGAGTGATCTTCCTCTAGAAACCATTACAGAAAGAAAACAAGACTATAGATCCTTATAAACTAAAAATATAACATGAAAAGACAAAATTGATTAACCAATTGGTCATTTATAGGTTAAGAAACAGGTTTGAACTTCACACACTAAGCAACATATTTCAAGTACAGCAATTATGAAGAAATCTATCCTAATCTGCAATCTATTTTCCCAGCTCTAGTCTGCTCACTAAGGAAAAGTGGCAGAAATGTTCCTGCAAATGACAGCTTCTTTTGCAGGTCAGCTGAGTACACCTGGCTATAGACAAGCAGATTCAGCTTGCCAAGCCTGACCATTGGGCAACTTGATATCTTAATCAGGTAGGACTGTATATTATTATGGCCAAATGTAAAAAATTTAACACTTCCAATGTGAACTAATAGATCACCCTAAAAACAGAAAACAAAATTCAGCATGGCTATAGTTTTCTAACAATTTAAAAAAAAACAGCAAGCATGATAAACACAGAAAACTAAATAACAAGTATCCCCGTCTACTCCAGACTTACTGTATATGTAGGATATAAAATGGAGTAACTTGGAGTAACTGGAGTAGATTGCAAACTGACATTAGCAGCAAGAATGCATTTTGGCTGATTCCTGCTAAATCAGCTAAACTTTTAGGTGTGGGTGCCCCTGTTGACAACCCCTGCTCTACAAAAGTTGTTTTTCAATCTATTTTTGCCAATGGAGCTGTATTTTTGAACATAAATTTACCTTATTCACAAAGCTAAATGAATATTCCCTGTTTCTAAAAGTAAATCAATCCTCATTGTTTAACAGTGTTAGGGGTGTAGTACTTGAGATACATTAGTAGATGCAATCTGACCTAAGAGAATTAAAGTAAAATCCTCTACTAATAAATTTGTTCCAAAATAAAGTTTTGCAAGTTGACAGGCACCCTTTACAGGTGTGCCACGAGACTGCATGCAGTAAGGTTTGCATCAGTGATATATGCAGGGGCGGACTGACCATTTGGAAAATCGGGCACTGTCCGAGGGCCCGGGGTCAGTAGGGGGCCCCATGAGATGCCCCTGGTACCTTTTTCATAGGTTTTTTTTTTAGTTTGGGCAAGGACACAGGGGCCCCATGATCCCCTATTGACTAGGGGCCCCATGAGCTGTCAGTCCACCCCTGGGTATATATATGTGTGAGCTATTCACAACCTTGACATAACTCGATTACATACCACAGCTGGGTACACCTGTTTTTCCTAATAGGTAGTTCTGTGAAGAGTAGTATACTTCCTTTTTGATTGGTAGGCTACCCTCTGCCTTGGGGGATTCCTGAAAATCATAATCACATTTAAAAAAGAGGTCTCTTAATTCTGTTAGCCTGTAAAAACACGTGACTACAAATTACTAACCAATGCAAGATCACAGATGGCAGAGGCAGACTTCATAGCTTTCAGAATGCTGTAAAATAAGTAAAAAAGTAGAATAATTAGCATAATATAATACAGTTTTGCTTTCTTCCGATGATCAGTTTTTAGTCTGGTTTTAATCTGTAAGTGGAGTGATTATTTTTGTCTAAAACTGTCACCGTACAGTGGATAATCTAATCCATCAGCACAATGACATTTGTTCCACAGGCTAATGCCTTAGTGCCAGTCTCTGGGGCCCAGACTGAAGAGCTTGTCGCAGACTCCCTCTGGATTTCAAACATAACTGCCAAGCAAAGCGATGATCCTACACAAGTCTTGCCTGACTGTCTAATATGCTGCCCTACAATCCCTAGTGAGTGTGTTCCAAGAATCCTATGGGATCTATGCACTTTATAATCTGTGATCGGAGCTTCCTTTAAAATCAATCAAACTCTATTAACTTGCTTAAACTGCTGTAGATTTACAGTGAGGAGGAATTTAGCAGACAAACAAAATATGATGTAATTCAAACACCCTGCAATTCCATATAATAGGTAGAGTATACATATGCCCAGACTATGCAAATTAAAGTATTTACATATTTTGAACAAACAATAAAAAACACTTTAAAATGAACCCTGACGGTTCTCTATAGCTGTATGCATTCTGCATAAATACATCTCCAAAGTCTACAATGAAAGCACAAAATTATAGCTCCTCTTCCCTTTATTTTCATTGACAGCAGAAACTTAGCAGGCTACCAGGCTTTAAACAGCAGGTGTCTGTAAGCTTTTAGAAACTGAATAAATCCTAAATTTACATTCACTGTTGTGACCTTTGAGGATTAATAACGTCACAGCACATTCAGCAACAGAGGTCAGAGATGACTTGTTTAAAAGTTCTTTTAATGTTTGTTATGAAGCTCAATTAACTTTTAGTTCAAATGAGCTAAATACATTCTAGGTGCATCAAAACTAAAGCTGTTAATTTTTTTTAAAGAAATGCCTACATGCTGTAGAGAAGGACCCTTAATCTCTTTGTGGAAGCAGTGCTCTCTCTGCTGAGGTTCAAGATGCACCCTACTTAGGGAAAGCTAGAGCTCTCCAATAGGCTGAGAGCATGGCTTTGCCGATTAGATATCTTTAGCTCAGACTTTAAAGATAGGTAGTGATGGATCTGTCAAACCTTTGCAGAGACTGCTGCTTTCAACAGAGAGCAAGGTTCCTGCAGCATGCAGTCAGGGGACAGACTTTTCTACTCAGTCTGCAGCTGCTTTCTACAGAAAGTAAAGTGAAGGCTTTGTACATCTTTTTTGATGCCCTTGGAATAACATTCACCAACCACTTTATTAGGTACAAATTGTTAATCAGTCAGTCACATGGCAGCAACTCGTGTATTTAGGCATCCAGACATGGTCAAGATCACTTGCTGAAGTTCAAACCAAGCATCAGAATGGGGGAGAAAAGGGATTTAAGTGACTTTGAACATGGCATGGTGGTTGGTGCCAGATAGGCTGGTCTAAGTATTTCAAAAACTGCTGATCTACTGGGATTTTCACGCACAACCATCTCTAGGGTTTACAGAGAATGGTCTGAAAAAGAGAAAATATCCAGTGAGCGGCAGCTGTGTGGAGAAAAATACCTTTTTGATGTCAGAGGAGAATGGGCAGACTGGTTCGAGATGATAGAAAGGCATCAGTAACTCAAATAACCACTCGTTACAACCAAGGTATGCAGAATACCATCTCTGAATGCAACACAACATGTTGATTCTTGAGCAGATGGACTACATCAGCAGAAGACCACACAAGGTGCCACTCCTCTCAGCTAAGAACAGGAAACAGAGGCTACAATTAACACAAGCTCACTAAAATTAGGCTAGAAAATAGAAAATTGGAAAAACGTTGCCTGGTCTGATGAGTCTCGGTTTCAGCTATGAAATTCAGATGGTAGGGTCAGAATTTGGCTTAAACAATATGAAAGCATGGATCCATCCTGTCCTGTATCAATGGTTCAGGCTGGTCATGGTGGTGTAATGGTCTCAGGGATATTTTCCTGGCACACTTTGGGACCCTTAGAACCACTTGAGCATTGTTTAAATGCCATGGACTACCTGAGTATTGTTGCTGACCATGTCCTTCCCTTTATGACTACAGTGTACCCATCTTCTGATGGCTACTTCCAGCAGGATAATGCACCATGTCACAAGGGTCAAATAATCTCAAACTGTTTTTTTTTTGAACATGACAATGAGTTCACTGTACTCCAGTGGCCTCCATAGTCACCAGATCTCAGTCCAATAGAAACACATTTGGGATGTGGTGGACTGGGAGATCCGCATCATGGATGTGCAGCTGACAAAACTGCAGCAACCGTGTGATGCTATCATGTCAATATGGACCAAAATCTCTGAGGAATGTTTCCAACACCTTGTTGAATCTATGCCATGAAGAATTTAGGCAGTTTTGAAGGCAAAATGGGATCCAACCTGGTACTAGCAAGGTGTACCTAATAAAGTGGCCAGTGAGTTAGCTGATTTAACCTGAAACTAATTGTGCTTTAATGTCTGCAGCTTAATGAACTTTAAATTCAAAATCTCAACAACTATTTCTAAACCTGTGAAAAATGATGAACAAATGAAGAAAGAGAAAGTGGTCCTGAAATGTTTTCTGTAGACAAACAGAACAAGTCCAGCGGAATATGACTGACTAACTAAATAACTATATGATGACCTGGATAAATGACTACCTTCACAGGCTTTTGTTAGTTGTTACAATCCACAAATCCCAGCTTCTGTATAAAGTCTATGAATGGTGCATGTTTTCTCTGGTTGTTAGGTAAACACACAGCAGATTTATACATGGTGTTTTAAAATAACAGATGGATATGTATTTTGTGCACGACACAAGAGTAAATATATACAGCATTGTAATAGGTATAAACAACCCCCGGTGACAATGCTGTCTTATTTATTGCATTAAAAAGCTGGAAGCGTGAAGTGTTCCCCATGGCACATTATTAATCAGACTGATACAGAGCCCACTTACCAGAGGGAGGGGGAACCTTACCTCAGTTCTGTTTTAATTTCTTCGTAATCTGACTGACTTTGTAACTTTTCCTCCAGTTTCTATAGGAAGAATAAAATAGGTAGGTCATGGGATTACAAGTGATCTGGTTATGGACATACAGGTTACATATCTATGAACTTACCACTACCTGTTACAAATATGTCTGCAATGTTTTACATTGTTTAAGCAGTACCATCAAAATGCTTATGCTGCAAAGCACAGACACGTGTCTTTGCTCATGGTACTGCACATTTGTGCTACTAGAGATGAAGAAAGGAGCTTTTAGTGAAGAATGAAACAGTGATCAAGACAATATGACATGTTTTGCTTCCTTTCTTGCACTGTTCATCCTAATTGCTCATCTACTATGCTCAGCAATGAAAGCAGTTCAGTGCAAAAATATCACGGATGCTGGCATAGTTGATATGTACACTATTCCTT